CTCTGCGCAGCGGCCTTGTTTAGATTCGTGTTTAGGAGCTAAAGAGTTGAGAGAGGATTGTAACCACAACAAGGTAGCCTCCTCAACTGTTGTGTTAACTTCTCTGGTCACTACTCATTTAAATTCAACTTGGTAGGTGAATAACATAAAGTAATAAAAATCTCAATCAATAAAAATATTTGAATAAAAATTGTAATGATGTGTTTCCAAATAATGATTCAAATAATAGTAAACCTGCTCTGATAGCTGTTATTGTTGGTTATAATAGTTAATAATAATAGTTAATAATAATTTAGTTAATAATAATTATTTTAGTTAATAATATTATAGTTATAATGTTAAAGTTGGTTATAATAGTTCATAAACTTATTAAATATCTTTAAAAAAACCCAATAAAACCCAGATTTTCCAGGGTTTTATTGGGTTTTTTTAGGCAGGTTTTTTTGGGTTTTATTGGGCGGGTTTTTTAATGCCAACCCTGATTTCTCCTGAAGATACCTTAATTGCAATATGTAGCAGATGCGAACTGAAGATTACAGGAGATAAAAAAGAAAAAAAACCTTTAAATACAAAAAAAAATTTGTATCGTATTAATACAAAGCATAAAGAAATAGCAAGCAAAGAGTTCAAACTTCAAACGAAGAAGAAAACAAAAGAAGAGCAGAAAATGAACAAAATGTGTTCACAAAAAGCAAGTCAACTAAAGCAAGTTGCTCATAACAGTTCCAACAAACTTTGTTTGAAACACTTGAGAGAAAAAACATAATGCCCTGGGACATTAATGATTATAGGTCTAAATTAATTAATAACTATACTGCAGAAATGATTGTGATTCAACCTTTTTCTATAGTAGATTTCAAAGATTGCTAAACCATATATGTCCAACATTCTAAGTAGAAAACACAATAAAAACTCTGTTTTTCAAAATATATACAACAAAGTATCCAGACAAAATATCCAAAAATATGGATGGGGATCTACCATTGAAAAATGCTCATTTCATAGCTTGGCAGCTCATTGGTTAACTAATGAATTCCATCAAAAGTTGGTAATTCTCTGAGTTTGCCAACTTAATGTATCGCATACTGCCAAAAATATGTGAAGCAATTCAAAATTCTATGAATGACTTTCTTATTCCAGCTTCAAAGATACATTTAGTCGCTAGAGATAATGCAGCTGATATGGTAGCTGGAATAAGAGAGGCAGGTTACAACAGTTTGCCGTGTATTTTACACACTTTACAACTTGTGTTGAATGACACTCTATTTGTCCAGATATGTGTTAAAAATATATCAACAACTTGTAAAAACATAGCAACCCATTTTAATCATTCTCTCTTCTTTTGAAGCTTATTGAAAATATCAAACTCATTATCAAGTGCCAAAAATAGGTTCAAACAAGACATTACAACAAGATGGAATAATCAATATTTTATGTTTGAAAGAATTTTTGAACAGAAACATGCCCAAATTTTTTGTTGTGATAATGATAATTCTAAACTAAAGTCCATTGAAAACAATGAATAGATTATTTTAGAAAAATTAAAATGATTCCTAAAAATGTTTATATAACAAAACTATTAAAATGATTTTTAAAAATGTTTATATAACAAACTAAATTAAATTGATTTTTAAAAATGTAAATATAACAAACTTATTAAGTGAGCGTGAAGAAATTGCATCTGAAATAATTCCAACTATACAAGTTATAAAAACCATGCTGGCTCAAGCTGAAAAGTCTCCCTTATTTTTAGGATTAGGGACAACTTTAAAAGAATGTAAAAAATCAGCAAGTAAAAGATTTGAAAAAAATCTTAATGACAAAAATCTCATTTTAGTAGCCTTTTTAGATCCACGGTATAAAAATAATTTTTTTCCAAATGAAGAAGCTGTTAGTTATTTTGAAAATATTATTAAATGAAGAAGCTGTTAGTTATTTTGAAAATATTATTAAATCAAGAAGCTGTTAGTTAATTTGAAAATATTATTAAATCAAGAAGCTGTTAGTTAATTTGAAAATATTATTAAATCAAGAAGTTGTTAGTTATTTTGAAAATATTATTAAATCAAGAAGCTGTTAGTTATTTTGAAAATATTATTAAATCAAGAAGCTGTTAGTTATTTTGAAAATATTATTAAATGTCATATGCTCAAATAGTCTTCAACAAAAAGTAACAAAAAAACAAAAATAACAAAAGAAGAAATTTCAACCTGAGGTCAATTTTTCATTAAGTACAATAAATCTCAATTTCAATTTTTCAAAATGCTTGAAAAATTTATTAAAAATAAAAACACTTCAATCGAGCAAATAGAAATAACTTCAAGCAATTAGCTCCAAGAGCTTAGAAGTAGTTATCATGCCCGCCATCTTCTGTTGGAAGTGAACGGTTGTTCAGTTGTGGAGGACAAATTCATTCTTCACAACGAAATAGGTTGGCTCTGAAAATATTCGCATACAGATTTTAAATGCTAAACATTGTTACAAATGCTATTGGTGCTTTCTTTAGAATCTTTAAATTATCATTTTGTTGGTTTTTGATTTTGAAGTTTTATTTTATTTTGAGAAAATGTATATATTTATAAAGGTTATTTTTATCTGCCTTTTATAAAGAGTTGTAAATTCTAAGTAAACTGCATAATACTATTTTAAACTCTTAACACCATTTTCTTTTTAAAATTAAAATAAAAAGGGTTCCTCTAAAATTGTATTTATTTTTTGAAAGTTTTCATGGTTAAAAAAACTAAAAAATGTATATTATTTAAACTGGGCTTTTATAATATCTTCTAAAATAAGGGCTTAGCTCTGAATTGGGTCTAAGTATTTATTTACCAATTCTGATTCCATAAGAAAGTTTACACAATTTAAAATTGTATGGTTTTATATTTTCAAAAATCCTATAATATGTTAATATTGAATTTAATGGTGTTGACCTTACTCATTTGTGCGTGTTTGACACGGAACGTATGGCTGCCATTACATTCGACTTAATAACAAAAAAGCATCACAGCACCTTTTCTTATAAGAAAATGTGAACAAATATCTAACTTATGTAAACTTTGAAATATGTAATGTTAAAAATTATATCAACTTTTACAGTTTTACTTTTACTTAAAAATTGCATTACGGCAACATCTCCTTAATTTTGATTTATTTGCCATTTTATAAATTCTTTTGTTTATTAAATAATGTTAAAACTTTATCAAACTATAATGGTTAGCTCACAGTGTTTCTGAAGAGCATCGCCGTGGTTCAAATCCTATCACTGGCAACTTTTTTTTTAATTCTTTGTGATTTTTTAAAAGATAAAATACAAAACTTTTAAAGTTTTGTAGATATTACATACATAACATATAGAAAGATATTATATACAGGGCTCGAATTAAGTGATCGCGAATTGCAATATCCGGAAATATCTGTGGTCATTAAATTCTTAGTTTTTTTAAAAACCGTAAACACTGTTTTAATGAAACGGTCAGTTTATCATATTGCAAAAATTAATGAAAAAGCAAAACAATAAATTTACAACTGCAAAAAAAATAACAGACAAAATTTATATATTATTAGTTATTGTTTTTTTAAACAATAATTAATAATATGTAATTTTAAGATTATAAATGAAAAAAAGTTGCAAGACAAAAATTATTTTTACTAAAGGTCTGAAAAACTCTCGCGGTAATTTAAAAATCAACCAATGAAAAACTATGTTTATTTGCGCATTGTATAAAACTTTGTATAAAAAAACAACCAATTAAAAAGTATGCTAAAGCTACTTGCGCATTATATAAAACATAAAAATAGATTTTTATTTAGGGGGAAAGTTTATGGAATTATTTATTTAAAAATTTAAATGTTTTAAATTAAAATTTAATTATTTAATAAGAAAAAAAATGATAAAGTATATTTTTTTAAAATATGTTATTAGAGTTTCTTTTTTTTTGTTTTAAGGTAACTATTAAAAAGTTTAAATTAGTTTTTATATATTAACTCCTCCGTCTTTTAATTTTATCTTCGTATCAGCTAAAGTGTTAAAAGCGTTAAATTTATAAAAAAATATTAAATGAGATTTAAATAAAAATTTTTAAAGTAATTATATCTTATTTAACAATTTCTTTTATTTAAAATATTCGATCACTGTTGTGATTAGCGCTTGTTTTTTAATATTTTATGGCACTTTATCTGATGCTTTATAAAATAAATTAAAATATTAAAGTTTAAATTATAATCTTTAATAATAATAAAAATAATAGTGATAATACGGTTTTACATTTTAGGATTTAATATCATAATCGACGTAAATATTTTTTATTAAATGATATCTATTGAGTTTAGTAATCAAAACAGTTTTACGGTTTTTAAAAAGCTAAAATTTTAAAGACCGGAAGCATTTCCAGATATCGCAATTTGTGATCACTTAATTCGAGCCCTGATATACTATAACAAACAAAAGGGAGAGATTTTATGTATATGTAAGGAAAAAATATAGAAAAAGTCATTGTGGAATAGACTTCCAAAGACGTGTATTTTTACAGATCTGGTCAGCTAGTTTTAATAATTAGTTAATCCATTGGTATCGGCCTTTTCCTATATATTGGCCACAAATGTGCAATCAGTACATCACTAATATACAACCCTCGAAATTAGGGTCGGCATTCGGCAATGCCGACCTGAAAGTGTTTGAGGTTGGAAAAAACTGCCGACCTTGTTACTATGTTTTGTAGTCAGACCTTTGTATCAAATAATTTTTGCCGACCTCAAAAAGATTGAGGTCGGCAATAACTTGCCGACCTCATTTTTCCTAATTCCGAGGATTGAATGAATATATATATATATATATATATATATCTAACTCTATTAGATATAGATGACAGATTACATATCAGAGATAAGACATATATATACATACATATGTATACATTATATAGAATAGATATTACCTAAAATTACCGATAATTCATACATAACATAAAACATTTAATAAAAATTAAAAATTTTTTAAAAACCTTGTTTGATCTCTTGGTATATGTGTGAATCTTTCTTTAGCATTGATGTCATAAACTTCAACACCCTAAAAATATTTATGGATAATTCCATATGAAATCATCCAGAAATAACAATTTTCGACACCCTTATGTCTCAGAATTTGTTCATTTTTACATCACTTGCAGTCCATAATAAAAAAATTATAACTGCGAAAATTTTAGTCAAAAATACACATGGGTTCCAGAGATATCATCAGTTGAAATATGCTGACTCAGCATTTTAGTAATTTTCTGAAACGACTATAAAGCAACTTGAACATAAAGTATCTTCATAATAGCTTAAAGAAATTTCCTACAATTTGGTACCCCAATAGGTTTTTACTTGAGGAATGCAAAAATAGCACCCTCAAGACTCGATTGTCTTAAGAAATGCCTTGTTTATCCAACTTTGTTCAAAATTATTGACTTGTAAATTAATGATTTTTGGAGGTAAAATAAAGACTGTGGCCCAAAATCCCTAGTAAAATGTTTAATTGTATATCATTATTTCATCTTAGGTCTACTGAAAAAAAGTAGATTCACCAATTGTCTCTTTAATACTTCATCAAAGTTTGCATTTAAAAATGGTGTCTTTTTAGAAAAATTTAAATTTTGAAACAAAAGCAATTAAAATATTTTTAAAAACAATTATTTGAGTAAAACATCAAATAGTGTTATTTATTGACTAGTTAAGGACATTTATAGTCATGGTTCAAGGGAGGTCCACGGGGCATTGGATAAACTTCCTCCCCCCCCCCCATCCCCCTTTTTTTATTTTTTTATTTTTTTTTTGTTTAAGTTTGAGAAACAATTTATTTTCATTACTTCAAATTGGTGAATTAAAACCTATTATATCAAAAACAAGCATAAGTTTTGTTTTGTTCGTTTTAAAGATACTTTACTTATTTGTAATTTCCTAAAGAATGACTGTGAATTTTATATATTTTATATTTTTTTGGCAGGTAATAAATAATAAAAGTATTTAATATGGAGAAATGTGACATTGAAAAAAGTCTTAACATACATTGCCAAAAAACTGGATTTTCTAGAAAACAAGGTTTTATTAATATTTTAAATATTTTTTAACTGAAACAAGTTAGTATTAGTTAATAAAAAAAAGTTTTTTTTAATTTTTTTTAAATTTGCCTTTTTAGGTGCGGGATTTTCAGGGGTAAAAAAACCCATGTTTTCATGAAAAAAAATTTCACAAACAAATTGACTTTTTATAAGTGAAATAATATTCTGGCTACCTCTGTAGTAACATGCTATAAAATCAATTCAAAAAGGTGGATTTGATAAAAACCGGTTAGTTAGTTTTTGTTCAGAAAAAACTGGATGTGGGCAGAACTTTCTTTCCTAGTCTTTAAGTTATAACCTAAGTTCGGCTCTCATCGTGATTTAGAATTTTTTAAAAATGGTTACTTTTAATCTTAGCAAACTTCTGGCTGATGATTTTCCTCCAAGGCATATTTTCACGAGTAAAAATGTAACTAAAGGTGCTATATTTTTGCAGTCCAATTTTTTATCACTTAATGCTGATTGCACTGTGAATTTCAACATTTTCAAAAGTCTGGCTTTTAATTTAATAAAAAAATTTAATGAGTGTAGAAAAAGAAAAGTGTTCTTTCTAACTAAATATAAACATTTTTTAGATCAAAATCAACAATGCAAATATCTCTTGTGAGTATAATATATTCTATAATGATTTATTATAAATAAGTAATAAATATTGCATATATATATATATATATATATATATATATATATATATATATATATATATATATATATATATATATATATATATATATATATATATATACACACTATAATGCAATATTTATTACATATTTATAATAAATCAATATAGAATATATTATACTCACAAGAAATATTTGCATTGTTGATTTTGATTCAAAAAATGTTTATATTTAGTAAGAAAAAACTTTTTTCTTTTTCCACACTCATTGAATTTTTTTAATGAATATATATATATATACATATATATATATATATATATATATATATATATATATATATATATAATATATATATATATATATATATATATATATATATATATATATATATATATATATAATAGATGCGTGTAGATTAGAAAAAGATTCTGAAAAAGAGATGAGGAAGACACATGAGGAAGAACTGCTATTAATTAGAAAAGTTGAAAATCTGATCAAACAGGGTAATCAACTTATCAATCAGGGTGAGCGTAAAATAAAAAAAGGGGAATTACTGCTTCGTACTCATGGATCCAATGTATGCATAGTATGCAAAGATAAATGTATCTCCCTCTCTTTATTTTGCACACAAACACACAAATTGTTTGACTATGTTTCACAAAACCTTCAAAATGTATATATGTTTCAATGTGTTTTTTTATTATTTATAGTGTACCATGTAGAGTACCTAATTCATCTGCAGTCAATACATCTTGTACACCAAAACCTAGAAAGTCTTTTATTAAGCTTACAAACAGGATGAAGCGTAAAAGAACAGATAGTCTTAGAGAACAAGAGGTGGAAGAACTGCAACATGCTGTCAAAAGTTTCAAATCTAATTCTTCTACTGATGGTAGGGCTATTTTATATGGTTCAAATTTGTCATTGCAAGCTCTTTGTAATTTGAAACTTACAGATAGAACATGGACTGAATTTAAAAATATAGTGACTCATAATCGTCATCTTGTTCCTCCAGGTTTAACCAAGTTGAAGCAATACAAAAAATTGACATATCCAGAACAGGTTGAATATTCTGAAACCGAAGTAAAATGTAGTCTTTTCCATATGATAAAGCATTCAGTTTCTAGAGTGTTTGAATATCTTTTGGATTATGAAAGTAACTGCATAATGAGTTTATCACAAGAAGAGCGTGATAATGTACAAATTATTTGCAAAGTAGGAAGTGATGGTCAAAGTGATCAATCTGAGTTTCAAAATTCAGCAACTATGAAAAGAGGTGTAGATGATCGTTCTGTGTATAGTATAGTGTTTGTACTGCTGGAGATCCGAAGTGGAGAAAAAATAATATCTAGTTTGTCAACTATTTATACCACAATGAATGATGGCAAAACACTAAACGCTGTTGTATCAAATATGCTTAAAAAAAATTTTTATCTCAGTCCTGCCATGTATGCCTTGCAAATTCTAAGGAGTTTAACTTGAAAACTATTTGGAAAAAAAATATTAATTTAAACAAGCATGTTTTGAAACTTGGAATTTGCAGTCTTCATCTATGGATGTGCTGTATGGAGTGGATTTTCAATACTACTTGTAAACTCCCAGCTGTTAAGCAAGGAAGAAATATTCCATCACAAAAGAGTAAAGAATATATTGAAAACAAAAAAAAATTCCAGCATTTATTCAAGATACAACTGAATATAAGGGTTTCTTTTGTCAGGAAAGATGTGGAACAACCAATACTGGAAATGTTGCTCGCAAATTTTTTAATAACCCGATTGTGACAGGGAGAATTTTAAACTTGGATATCAGAATGATTAAGTTGTTTTGAGATTTACTTATTGATATAAACAGAACAACTACGAGACCGGATATAAAGGTTTTCAAACAGAAATCTGAACATCTATTTGCACTCATAACTAATGATAAATTTTTAAAAACCATACCTATGTCACAATCTGTGCATAGAGTGATAGTTCATGGTACTTCTTTTATAAGGTATTTTAAGTATCCGATATGTTCTTTGTCTGAGAGTGCTATTGTAGCCAGAAATAAGGAAAACAAAACTGCTCGAATTGGTCATGCTCGTTTAACCTCTTTTGCAGAAAACACTAGGGATACAGCTAATTATTTGTTTATGACATCTGATATGTACCTCTTTTGCAAAAAAAACAAAATGGATAAAAAGAGTGAAAACAAAATAGTTTAAGAAAGCAAAGTGACAGTTCTTCTGATAACTGCTTAAAATAAAGGTAAAATAGTTTTATTATTAATATTGTTAATAGTTTTGATTGATTTTTTAGGTTAGGCAATCTCATATTTTTGGTTAATTAACAATTCAAAGTTGCGTTTTTTTTTTTTTTTTTTTTTTTTTGTTTTTAAAAAAAAATTTAAGAAAAAATTTAATCAACTTTAACAAGCAATTAACTATTTTAGGAAGTAAGACCATGAAGAATCATACTGATGAGCTGTTCTGCGTTGAATTTTTAAAAAACGGCTATTTTCATAGCCACAAGTTATTAAAAACATCTATTAGAATAGAATGTTGAGAAACTGTGAAAGAATGCAAAGAGCCAAGTATCATATGATAGCAGAGTTGTTTATTATATTCAATGATACTGTTTATTTTGAAATAGTGTTCATATACATAGTTTGTAAAATTCTATAAAATATAGGCGCCTACTTTTTTTTGAATAAAATCATCCGGACTTGTGTAGTTTTCTGGACAAATCTAGAATTAGTCCGGACTAACCGAAAAAAAATACAATAAATTGTTTTTTTATGAAAACCGAATATGATTCTTTTAAATATAGAAATATAAATAAAAATTTGATGTCTTGTGAAAAAATAAGTTAAATATTTTAAGTCCTTCTTTATTTATATGCCTATTTCCTCATTTTGTATAAGAGCAACGCATAGTGCGCCATAAGGTGCAAATGTTAACACTCACACCAAAATCATGGACACCTACAAATATATCAAGCTACTTTGAAGTGTTTGAGTATCTTGCTCGAACTGCAAGAAAAGTTAAAAATGAGCTTGGAATTCTATCATTGCCTGAAAAAAAAACTGGAAACCCACTTTCATCAGAAACAGTTAAAAATTTTATCAATATTTTATCAATATTTGAATTTGATTTAAATGCTGAATGGGTATTTTTTGCTACCAGTCATAGTAAATCCCCTTGTGATGGTATTGGTGGGACTGTTAAAAGAGTAGTGTGTCAAGAAAGTCTGAAACAAATAACTACTAGACAGATTTTAGATGTTAATTCAATGTACTCCTTTTGTAAAGCCAAAATAAATGGAATTTGTTTTAAGTTATTTTCAAAAGAAGAAATCAACCAAACACAATTACAATTAGAAAAAAGATATTCAGGTAAAAGAACTTTTCCTGGCACAAAGATGTATCATCATTTTATTCCAATTGCTCCTAACACTATAAATTATAAAAAAAACAAGTATTGATACATGCACTGAAATATTTGATATCATTCCAAAATGCAAACATAATGTAGAGATTTCATTAAACATTAAAAAAATGGATTATATTGCATGTTTTTATGATGGATTTTGGTGGGTAGGGATTGCTGAAGATGTAAGTGACCTTAATATTAAAGTCAGATTCATGCATCCACATGGACCAGGTAAAACCTTCTTTTGGCCAATGAGAAATAATGAGTGTTGGGTGCTCAATTCTGAAGTTATATGCCTAAATTCTACACCCACAACAATATCAGGACGTACGTACAACATATCTGATTTAGATTTAGAGAATTAAAGCTGTTGGTTACAAAAAAAAATTAATTACATTTAAAATCATTTTGTTTTTATTTTATTTACCTATTTTGCATTTAAAATTTGTCTTTTTTCTTTTTTTCAAATTCTTGGATTGTAGGCTGAGAAGGTGGGGGTAGGGTTTAAATAAATCCCAATCTCCATGTCAATGACTATATTAGTTTTGAACTACTAAATAATACCATAATTGATTGTTAAAATGTTTGAAAAACATTTCAATATTTTTTGTTTTAAAATTAATAAAGTTTTAAATCGTAAAAAGATCTTAAAAATATGAGGTATATAAAAGATCTTAAAAATATGAGGTATAAAATATTGATTTGAAATAACTAAAATAAATTGTTTCTCAAATTTAAATTTAAAAAAATATATGTTTTTAAATTGTAATTGGATAATTTTTTATTATTTATTCATTTTAAGTAAAAATAAAAATAAATAAAAAAACTCGGTATATGGGGGAGGGGGAGGTGGGACGTAGGTCAATCAAGGCCCCCAGGACCTCCCTTAAAACATGACTATAAATGTCCTAAACTAGTCAACAAATAACACTATTTAATGTTTTACTCAAATAAATATTTAAATTGCTTTTGTTACAAAATTTAAATTTTTCTAAAAAGACACCATTTTTAAATGCAAAATTTGATCAAGTATTAGAGAGACAATTGATGAATCTACTTTTTTTCAGTAGACCTAAGATGAAATAATGATATACAATTAAACTTTTTACTCAGGATTTTGGGCCACAGTCTTTATTTTACCTCCAAAAATCATTAATTTACAAGTTAATAATTTTGAACAAAATTGGATAAACGAGGCATTTCTTGAGACAATCGAGTTTTGAGGTGCTATTTTTGGATTCCTCAAGTAAAAACCTATTGGGGTACCAAATTTTAGGAAATTTCCCCAAGCCATTATGAAGATACTTAATGTCAAAGTTGCTTTGTAGTCGCTACAGAAAATCACTAAAATGCTGAGTCAGCATTATTTCAACTGATGATATCTCTGGACCCATGTGTATTTTTGACTAAAATTTTCGCAGTTATAATTTTTTTTATTATGGACTGCAAGTGGTGTAAAAATTAACAAATTCTGAGACGTAAGGGTGTCATGGTCTGGATGATTTCATATGGAATAACCCTTATATTAAAAGTAAAATGATCTTCAATAAACATAAAAACATTAAACATAAAAAAGAAACGCTTGGAAATATTCATATCAAATAAAAAATAAAGACTTGAAAACATGCACATTAAATACGTAATAAACTTTAAACCACTTGAAAAGGTGCACATGAATCATAAAATAAACATTAGAACATATGAAAATATTTAAATACTTTAGGTATAAAGCAGTTTTCTTAAAATATTTGTATCAAATAAAAATTATATTCTTTAATGGTTTAATAATTTAATAAAATGTTTAAACCTCAGAATTTGCCCATGCAATAAAATTGTTTTTCCATTTAATTGATCGAACGAACCCTTCTCCAGAATGAAGGATAACTGATTTATTGCGCATCCAACCTTTTTCAAATAATGTTAATTTTTCGCCAACTCCAATTACATACTGTTTGTTTCCTCTACGTCCAAAATCAGGATGCAAGCCAATAGAACGAATGGGACAATCAAAATTATGTTGGGTATTATTTTCTGTTGTATAAAGGCCATTAATAATAAACTAAAAAAAATAGTAACTTTAATAAAAACCTGTAAAAATTCAAGTGTCCATATCTAATTTTTGCGTATATTTTGTGTGCAACTATCTACATACTAAGAATCAAATTAACTTATTGATGCTGTATAGATGTACACAAATACACACAAAGATAAAAATTTCCAAAATTTATAAAATTCGCAATGGAAGTCTTGGTTCCTCTGAAAGGGCACATAGTTGCTAAGTATTTTCAAATTTATTAACATAAATGATGGAGTCTTTGGTATTACAAAACAAAACATATTTTTTACAGAACAAAGATCATTAAGCTTACTTAAGATTCCTGAAAATACAATTTAATTACTATTTTAAAATCTTAAATTGTTTGAAGGAGAATTCATTGAAGATTTTAAACTTCATTTGAAAAAAATTGTAAATTAAGAGCTATTGTTTTAAATTAGCGCTTCTATCACAAGCTAAAGATTTTTATGTTCATAAATCCTTGAAAGATTTTTGATAAAACTTTAATTTAAATTTAAAAACTTAAAAAAGTCCTGATCAACAAATCAGATCAATGACAGAAAAAGCAGTTGTAAAAATTGCCTAAACTCTTTTATAGCATAATAAAAAAACATAGAAATCTACCCAAACAACACAATCCATGGATATTAAACATAAAAAAAACATGGATATTAAACATAAAAACATCCACAAAACATGGATATTAAACATTAAAAAAAAACATAGAAATCTACCCAAACAATACAAATGTAGAACATGGATATTAAACATAAAAAAAACAACATAGAAATCTACTCAAACAACACAAATGTAAATATTAAACATAAAAAAAAACTTAAAACATAAAAAAATAATTAAAATGCTGTTTTTTTAGAAAAAGAAGAAAATAACAAAACAATGAATAATAAAATAAGAAACTTTGTGTCATAATAAAAGTATTTTTATATAGATAGTAACTGTTAAAATCATATAAGGTATGATTTTGGTAAGGTAACTTTATAAACTATATATTATAAACTAACTAAATAATATAATACTAACCTTAAATATTATAACCTTATTATAAACTATATAATAAAGTAGTATTCAAACATGTACTGAATATCAATTTATAATAACTTATATTAACCCCTTGAGATTAACATAAATTATTATAAATTAGTGCTAACACAAGTAACATAGTTTAAACAAACTATGAAAAAACCATAAATAAAAATAATTTTACCCTGCCATCTTCAGAGCAGCTAGAAACATAATCTCCATTACTATCAATTGCTATTTGATTAATTGTTGTTGCATGGGAAGGAAATTTACGAATATTGTTTCCTTGATGATCCAAAATATGAACAACTCCATAATGTGTGCCAAGAGCCAAAAACTAAAAAGTATTTAAGCAATAGCAACAACAACTAAATAGTGTAATATTTATTGAAAAAATGTTCCAACTAAAAACTAATTCAATTCTTTTAATTTATTTTTCACTTTACTATATAACAATTACTATTAAAACTTTATACTTTAGTATAGAAGAGCTTGTAAATGTCATTATCGGAAAGGTTTTCAGGTCGTTTATATAAATCAAGAACAATAGTGGTCCCAAAATGGAACCTTACGGTACGCCACATGAAAAATTTAGAAACGTATTTGCATAATCATTATTAAGGTTCATCGGTTTGTATAAACAATATTACATTATCATTGTTTACGATAAATAACTTTTGAACTTTTTTATGACTTCGCAATTAATTCTATAATATTTAAGTTTGTGTAGCAAAGTTTAATGATGGACAGTATCAAATGCTTTTAATAGGTCGATGAAAAAACCTAATGTGTATTTAGACTTTTCAAAAGAATTTTTCAATACTAATTCACTCCCAACAAAGCTGCAAGCAACCACTATTAAGTTAAGACTTACTAGAAAACAAAGAAAAGTGTTAAAAGTGTTTAAAGTTTGTATGAGTCAGGAAAACATAATTATGGGAGTCAGGAAAACATGAATATATATGTATATGCATATATATTAGAAGGAAATCACTTACTAAATTAATTTTATTTTACACTGTGTTTTATCTATAAATATATTCTTCTCATCAGAAATGTGTAGATGTGTGTGTGTCTATATATATATATATATATATATATATATATATATATATATATATATATATATATATATATATATATATATATATATATATATATATATATATATAATATATATATATATATATACAATAGCGGCATAAAGTAAGTATACACCATTGAAGTATACACCATTTTCTTCTTAAAGAAAAGCTTCATAAATTAGAATGCAATTTAATGGTTTCAAAGAAAAGCAAAAAAGCATATTATACAGATCTGCAAAAACTTATTTTTGATGCTGTGGCTAACCAAGTATAAAGTAAGTATACACCATTGTATACTTACTTTATGCCGCTATAGTATATATAATAATTATTAGGCTGGTGCAGATGTATTTTTAATACAATGTTTCCAGCTTAGGATGTTGCATGCTAGATCTTATGACTCGATGCATGGGTTTTCCTTGTGTTTCTGTTTTTATGACTAGACAACTCATTCTATTATCTCCTAATGGGGGAACAGCTCTAAAACTCAGTTTTATGGTTCTGAGGCCGGTTGGTAGTCAGATTTCCTGAACTCTGTGGTAGCTCTCAGAGAGGCTGATTCCATCGACAGCTGTAAAATATCAAAGTACTAACAGTGCCATGTTGCGCATAGATGGTGTCCCTGTTTAAACTTTTGGTGTACATTGCCAAGGTCACATCGGAGCCCTTTGTTACGGCTTAGGATTTGTTAATAGTAATGAGGCAATTGCTTGGGCTGTTAAACAGTATAAAGAGTACTATCTATGTTTCGAGTCAAGTTCTTTAACAAATTTAAAAATGAATAAAGTAACAAAAACTATAAAACACAAAAAACCACAGTCATCACCAAGTTCGCTAAACCTATCATTCACTAATATTCGTGGTCTTCGAAGTAACTTTTTTTCTGTTGAGTCTTATCTCTTGCAAAGTTCACAAGACCTACTTGTTCTTTGTGAGACTAATTTGAGTTCAGCTGTCTCATCTAGTGATCTTAGTGTTGATGGTTATCTTCCTTTAACTCGTAAAGACTCCAATAGTAACATGCTTGGCCCCAGGCCAAGCATTTACATTCGTAAGAATTTACCCATTTGTCGGGAAACTAGTTTTGAATCCACAGACTACTCTTTTATGTGCTTTTGTTTAGCACTACTTTACTCTATCACCTTTCTCTTTGTTCTAAATCGCTCTCCTTAATCTCAAGACTGCACTCTTCTTGATGTTATTTCTGATCATATTGACCAAGCCCTCTCTCTTTACCCATCAGCCAATATTGTTGTTGTCTGTGACTTTAATGTTCATCACACTGAATGGTTTGGCTCTAGTGTCAGTGACTCTGCAGGCATTAAAGCCCGCAACTTTTGCCTTTCTCAATCCCTAACTCAAATAGTCAACTTTCCAACTCGCTTTCCAGAAAACCCGAATCATTTACCTTCTCTACTTCTGTCTTGTTTCTAATCCTAGTCAGTGCTTAGTTTCTCCACAGTCATTGTTTGGTACCTTTGATCATATTTTGATCTCTCTAAAACTATTATCTCATTCTTTTTTAACATCAGACTCCCCCTATCATTGCACATCTTACAACTGCCTTAAAGCTGACTGGGACTCTTTCCGTGATTTTCTTCATGACGGCTCTTTGGTAGAAATCTTTTGTCTTCCTGTTTACAAATGTGCTTCTTACATAATTTCGTGGATTCAGGCTGGCATGGCATCCTTTATTCCCTCTCGACGATTCCAGGTCAAGCCTCACTCTTTTCATTGGTTTCCCTCACATTTTGCTGCTGCAATTGCCAATCGAAACCATTACTTCTATATCTATCAACAAAACAATTCTCCAGAAAACAGACGTCTGTTTAATACTGCTAGGAACCATTGTAAAAAGGTTTTGTCTAACACCACACCATGCGTCGCGAAGCGAAAATAGGATTTTACTTACTTTTTAGAAAAATTTTTTCAATTTTAACATTTTAAATATTTTTTAACTGAAACAAGTTAGTATTAGTTAATAAAAAAAAGATTTTTTAAAATTTTAATTTAAAATTTTAAATTTGCCTTTTTAGGTGCGGGATTTTCAAGGGTAAAAAAAACCATGTTTTCACTAAATCTTTGAATTACATAAGATAATTTTCAAATTTCTTCATTTTTTTTTTGCACATTTTCTAATAAATGATACATTTTGTAAATTAAAAACCATGAAAAGAAAAAAAAAATGTTTGGATCATTGTTTTTGGGTGACTGTATTGATTAAGTTTTTTATTTTTTTTTTATTTTCTCAAACAAACTGACTTTTTATAAGTGAAATAATATTCTGGCTACCTCTGTAGTAACATGCTATAAAATCAATTGAGAAGAGGTGGATTTATTAAAAACCGGTTAGTTAGTTTTTGTTCAGAAAAAACTGGATGCGGGCAGAACTTTCTTTTCTAGTCTTTAAGTTATAACCTAAGTTCGGCTCTCATCGTGATTTAGAATTTTTTAAAAATGGTTACTTTTAATCTTAGCAAACTTCTGGCTGATGATTTTCCTCCAAGGCATATTTTCACGAGTAAAAATGTAACTAAAGGTGCTATATTTTTGCAGTCCAATTTTTTATCACTTAATGCTGATTGCACTGTGAATTTCAACATTTTCAAAAGTCTGGCTTTTAATTTAATAAAAAAATTTAATGAGTGTAGAAAAAGAAAAGTGTTCTTTCTAACTAAATATAAACATTTTTTAGATCAAAATCAACAATGCAAATATCTCTTGTGAGTATAATATATTCTATAATGATTTATTATAAATAAGTAATAAATATTGCATATATATATATATATATATATATATATATATATATATATATATATATATATATATATATATATATATATATATATATATATATATATATATATATATATATATATATATATATATATATATATATACACACACACTATAATGCAATATTTATTACATATTTATAATAAATCAATATAGAATATATTATACTCACAAGAAATATTTGCATTGTTGATTTTGATCCAAAAAATGTTTATATTTAGTAAGAAAAAACATTTTTCTTTTTCCACACTCATTGAATTTTTTTAATGAATATATATATATATATATATACATATATATATATATATATATATATATATATATATATATATATATATATATATATGTATATATATATATATATAGATATATATATAGATATATATAGATATGCGTGTAGATTAGAAAAAGATTCTGAAAAAGAGATGAGGAAGACACATGAGGAAGAACTGCTATTAATTAGAAAAGTTGAAAATCTGATCAAACAGGGTAATCAACTTATCAATCAGGGTGAGCGTAAAATAAAAAAAGGGGAATTACTGCTTCGTACTCATGGATCCAATGTATGCATAGTATGCAAAGATAAATGTATCTCCCTCTCTTTATTTTGCACACAAACACACAAATTGTTTGACTATGTTTCACAAAACCTTCAAAATGTATATATGTTTCAATGTATTTTTTTATTATTTATAGTGTACCATGTAGAGTACCTAATTCATCTGCAGTCAATACATCTTGTACACCAAAACCTAGAAAGTCTTTTATTAAGCTTACAAACAGGATGAAGCGTAAAAGAACAGATAGTCTTAGAGAACAAGAGGTGGAAGAACTGCAACATGCTGTCAAAAGTTTCAAATCTAATTCTTCTACTGATGGTAGGGCTATTTTATATGGTTCAAATTTGTCATTGCAAGCTCTTTGTAATTTGAAACTTACAGATAGAACATGGACTGAATTTAAAAATATAGTGACTCATAATCGTCATCTTGTTCCTCCAGGTTTAACCAAGTTGAAGCAATACAAAAAATTGACATATCCAGAACAGGTTGAATATTCTGAAACCGAAGTAAAATGTAGTCTTTTCCATATGATAAAGCATTCAGTTTCTAGAGTGTTTGAATATCTTTTGGATTATGAAAGTAACTGCATAATGAGTTTATCACAAGAAGAGCGTGATAATGTACAAATTATTTGCAAAGTAGGAAGTGATGGTCAAAGTGATCAATCTGAGTTTCAAAATTCAGCAACTATGAAAAGAGGTGTAGATGATCGTTCTGTGTATAGTATAGTGTTTGTACTGCTGGAGATCCGAAGTGGAGAAAAAATAATATCTAGTTTGTCAACTATTTATACCACAATGAATGATGGCAAAACACTAAACGCTGTTGTATCAAATATGCTTAAAAAAAATTTTTATCTCAGTCCTGCCATGTATGCCTTGCAAATTCTAAGGAGTTTAACTTGAAAACTATTTGGAAAAAAAATATTAATTTAAACAAGCATGTTTTGAAACTTGGAATTTGCAGTCTTCATCTATGGATGTGCTGTATGGAGTGGATTTTCAATACTACTTGTAAACTCCCAGCTGTTAAGCAAGGAAGAAATATTCCATCACAAAAGAGTAAAGAATATATTGAAAACAAAAAAAAATTCCAGCATTTATTCAAGATACAACTGAATATAAGGGTTTCTTTTGTCAGGAAAGATGTGGAACAACCAATACTGGAAATGTTGCTCGCAAATTTTTTAATAACCCGATTGTGACAGGGAGAATTTTAAACTTGGATATCAGAATGATTAAGTTGTTTTGAGATTTACTTATTGATATAAACAGAACAACTACGAGACCGGATATAAAGGTTTTCAAACAGAAATCTGAACATCTATTTGCACTCATAACTAATGATAAATTTTTAAAAACCATACCTATGTCACAATCTGTGCATAGAGTGATAGTTCATGGTACTTCTTTTATAAGGTATTTTAAGTATCCGATATGTTCTTTGTCTGAGAGTGCTATTGTAGCCAGAAATAAGGAAAACAAAACTGCTCGAATTGGTCATGCTCGTTTAACCTCTTTTGCAGAAAACACTAGAGATACAGCTAATTATTTGTTTATGACATCTGATATGTACCTCTTTTGCAAAAAAAAAAAAAAAAGGATAAAAAAGAGTGAAAACAAAATAGTTTAAGAAAGCAAAGTGACAGTTCTTCTGATAACTGCTTAAAATAAAGGTAAAATAGTTTTATTATTAATATTGTTAATAGTTTTGATTGATTTTTTTTGGTTAGGCAATCTCATAATTTTGGTTAATTAACAATTCAAAGTTGCGTTTTTTTTTTTTTTTTTTTTTTTTTGTTTTTAAAAATAAATTTAAGAAATAATTTAATCAATTTTAACAAGTAATTAACTATTTTAGGAAGTAAGACCATGAAGAATCATACTGATGAGCTGTTCTGCGTTGAATTTTTAAAAAACGGCTATTTTCATAGCCACAAGTTATTAAAAACATCTATTAGAATAGAACGTTGAGAAACTGTGAAAGAATGCAAAGAGCCAAGTATCATATGATAGCAGAGTTGTTTATTATATTCAATGATATTGTTTATTTTGAAACAGTGTTCATATACATAGTTAGTAAAATTCTATAAAATATAGGCGCCTACTTTTATTTGAATAAAATCACTTTCTTTTTAAACATTTTTGCATCATAGAAGGAAACTGTAACATTTTACATCACTACATTTTTTTTAACAGAACATTATACAGTCCAGCTTCCTGGAAAAGTTATCTGCCTGATGAACATTATGGAGTAATCATCTTTATTTTCTTTCTTTATATGATCATATTAGTATTTTTATGAAGTAATCATCTTTATTTTCTTACTTTATATGATCATATTTGTATTTTTAAAATAGTAAGATTAGCTTCCATCCTTAAGCCAAGCTCTTGGGCTTCCATCACCAATCGACAATCTTCATAAGAATGATCAGAAACAGGGAGTTCAGCTAATCTAACATGGATATTTTGAACTTAAATAATGTAACCAATATTTAAAATATTTCTTTTTACAAAATTACATAAAAATAATTTAACAATTATATCCAAATGTTTAAGATTAGAGAGTAATGATTAGCCATTTAGGGATGATATTGACACTTCATAATGTTTTTTTTTTTTAGATTATGGAGAGATTTGTTTTGCAAATAGGTTTGTGCCTAAGCTTTGATTAATCTTGAAATATTTAAAATGAATTTGTTAATAACCATTACAGTGTCTTCAATACCAGATTCTTTTTTTTTTTTACTTAAAGATGTTTTACCAGCTCAGTTTTGCAACTGAATTAAAGTAACACAATGTATAGCTCTATTGCATCTGTTTCTTCACCTTTTACCAAACTTGGTACTGATGTTCATTTTCAACCCGCTGTTCATAATGACCCCTGTTGACTGTACATGTTGTAAACTTGTTGCTGATGCAAAATATTCAAAACCTGTAAAATAGACAGATAAGTATGAGTATCATTTTTACCAACAAATCTTATCCTTGTAAACTGTATACAAGTTTTTAACATGCTCTCTCATTGAATGAAACTTCCTTGCACATAATATAATTTTTTTTTATGTTTTTAAGTTGTAAGCACTTAATAAGGACAAGTCAAAGTAAACTGTAGCATTTTTTTTTTTGCCTGAATAATTTCCATTTCTAGACTGTGAATAAAGTTTAACAATTTTTATATATAGTATTTTGCTTGTGGCTTTGTACTGAAATTCACATTTTACAACATAAGCTTTAAAAAACAATAGATCAGATACCAATATAAAATGACATCTACAGAACGCTTGTTTGGAAATATAGACATTCGAGAGGAGAATAAAGATACTAAATAACTAGTAATGTCTTGTACTTTGAAATTTAGTTAATAGAATAATTTTTATTTCCTTTATAAGTATTTAACTAATTTAATGTTTTAATACATATTTCAATAATATTTATAATAACTTGCTATATGTTTAAAAAAAAAAATAGATAACCAACTTGCTACAAAAACAGATTGATTGATTTTGGATATATTCTAAATACCAATTTGTATACAAATACAGTGTTTACAAGAGTAATTACAGCATAAAAATTGCACTTGCTGATAATAAAGCATTTATAAGTGTTAAAATCAGAATAATCAGTTGTAAAATACAACATTTTATAATACAATTAATACATAAAATACAATTAGAGTTATCAGTTGTAGAGTAGGACATTTTTTAAAAAACCCAAATATATTTTGGGTTTTTTTGGGTTTTATTGGGTGTTTTTGGGTTTGGTTTTTTTGCCAACCCTGAATACAAGACTCATAAGGCTAGCCTAGTATTTTTAAGACTAGCCTATTATAGCCTAGTATTTTAGCCTTATAGAATATTTGAAAATTCAAATAAATAATATTTAGAATATTTGAAAATTCATATAAATACCAAAAAAAGTTATTAAAAAATACACATTTATTAAAGAAACAATTTTTTTTTTCAGTATATTAAAGAAGTTATAGGTACCACTTTTCTGTCCTTGATACACCCTTTATGTATCCTTATTGTTCTTTTATTTAATAAAAGATCTGATTTAATTTTGATAAAATATTTTCGATCAAATCACTGATTTTTCTTTTTTTTAAATAACTTTTTATGAAAAATTAAAAGAAAAAAAATCTTTTCTTTTTTTTAATTTTTCAATTTAAAGGGCATTTAATTTTTGGTTCTTTTAAGCAGTTAAAAATATGTGCTAAAAAATAAAAAAATAATAAAAATAAAAAATAATATATTTGTATTACTTTAGAGTGTACTGCCATGCAACTTGCTGCATCTTTGGTAAATATTTCTAGAATAGAATTTCCTATTCGTTCGTATTTTAGCTTAGGTTCAACATCATCCTTTCCATCATCATCATCATCATCATCATCATCATCATCATCATCATCATCATCATCTTCGTTACTATCATCTATATTCTGTGTAAAATTTTCTTCGCGGTCTTCGACTTTTCTTTCTGACATTATATTAACAGCTAAAATGTTAAAACTTTTTTTTATTTAGAAAAGTTAAAGTATTAAACAAGATAAATATTTTAAGTTATGACATATCTAGATATATTGTATTTTTGAATATCAATTGTCAATAACATTGACAATTTGATATTGACAATGTCGTAACTTTAATTAGTTACTTTTATCTACAATATTATTGTAAATAAAAGTATTAATCTTAACAATAAATGTATAAACAAAAAAGATATTAATGGTAATAAACAAAAATCAATGAATGGTATAAACAAAAAAGTTTTAAGATATATTCAAAATTTCTTGTTTTTACATAATGTCAAAACATAATATGTAATAATCATGTAATACACAAACAGACACAAGCACTCCTTTACTTTATTTATAAATAGTATATAGTAAATTTTTAAATAATAATGCAGAATATATACTGCTTTAAATAAAGTCAAATTTAATATTAATAATATTATTTTGTTTGCTTTGCTGTTCAAAAATATGAGGGAATATAAAATATTATCCTAAAGCAAACAATCCTTATTAATCCATTGCCCGAATTAATCCATCTAGTCAAACTAACCCATCTACCCCTATTGATAAATACTAAGGTATTGCCTAACTAGATATTGCAAGCTTTAATTAGATATCGCTAAAATTTTCACTTTTACTTTTTCTGAAATTTTACATCTTTTTTTTTATTTTTTGTTAATGAAATAAAATGGATACCCAAGTACAAAATTTTTGTTGATTTTATTGTCAAAGGAATGTACCCTCAAGACATTAACAAGAGTTGCAAATTAATGCCTAAGAAGCTCTGCTAAAAGCATGGTTTAGGAGTCATTTTTACATCTAACCTCATATGGAGCAAAAATATTCAAAATAAATTTCAAGCTAAAAAAAAGCATATTAAATGGTCTTATAAACACTTTAAATAACTTAAGAGCCATATTTTCACTTCATTAATAAAAATATGGCTCTGAAGTTATTTAAAGTGTTTATAAGACCATTTAATATGCTTTAATATGCAGTGTTTATTTGGGTTTCTTATTTAAAAACTGTTATTTCCATGGTTGAATCTATTCAATGCAAAAAAAAAAATCGGTTTCCAGCTTGAGATATCTTCAATACAGTAAAAGATCAAAAAGATTAACCTACCATCGCTTGAGCTTTAGCGCCTACAATGCGATCTGATCCAAATCATTAAATTAATACATCCTTTTGGTAGGTTAATGATATCCATCTACCAAAATTTATTAACGTGGTCATCATTTAAAAATAAGGTGTGAGTAAACTCTAAGCTGCCACCCAAGACACAATCAGTTATATCATAGATCAGCAAAATTCTGAAACAAACTACCTAAGAAAGTAACTTTCTACTCCACTTTACTTTCTTTTAAAAGTAGACTTGACTCTTTTCTCTGTTTTGGAAAAAATGTGAAACACATATTTATTAAAATAGTTGTTTATAGTGAGGTGTTTTCCTTGCTATGTATACAGACGTTGTATGAATACATACAGCATATATATACCATTTGGCTACAACTAAAATAATAATAATAATAATAATAAGAATAATAATAATAATAATAATAATAATAGCAATAAAAATAATAATAATAAAAAGATAAAAAGAGCCTTTAATTTATTTTTTTACCTACAAAGACTTCACGAGTTACACATGCTTTTTTTTCAGCGGAAACAAAAAACAAGAAATACAAACTTAAATAAGTAAAGAAAAAGGATAGAGCAAAACTAATGAGTTTACAAGTTTTAAAAAAAGTAATTCCCTTCCTTGACTTATTGCTGGGATGTTATAACTTCTGTCCCAGGTCAAACTTTTAAGCACATGGTGGAAACATGAAGAAGTGCAAAGGAAGATGCAGTTAGTGCTGTAAAAAAAGATCAAAAATTATAAATGCTGTAACTTGTGAAGAAGAAAACAGATGCACTAGATCAAACGCTTAAGATAAAACTTTAATACTATAACATATTATATATTCAATATTAACATAACATATTATATTTTCAATACTAAAGCATTTGTATATATTCAATACTGTAACATTTTGTATATATTAAATACTGTACAGGGTGTAAACTAGCCCTGTGGAGCCTCGTCAAACGCGGTTTTCCCAAATGCTCATAAAATTAAAATTCCCAATAAAGATGAAAAAATCCCATTCTCCATATAAAGTTTCCAAATTAAAGTTTAATAATATTTCTAAAAATAATTTAAAATTAATTATTATTCAAAACTAATAGAAAAATAACATTAAAAAATTCTAATTCATTAATTGCGTAAAACATAAAATCAAATCGCCATTATTGGTAAAAAAACGCAATTGCATAACTGCGAAAATTGGTTTCTTGGAAAAAACATCATGAGAATTGGGATTTTTCGAGATTTTTGTGGTAACTTTCAATAAAGTTTGAAAATAGTTTTTTGCAATACATTCCAACAACAGCAAATATTATATAAAAAAGTTAGCAAGAAGTAAAGTACTAATCTAAAAGATCCAAAATAATAACAAACTTGTTTGGTTTAACATCCGCAAATGCTATTTCTTTAAAAGTTTTGCCCTTTTTGGCTAAAAAGTTAAATAACTTATTAAGTCTTAACTTATAAGTCTTACCTTATAAACTCAACTAAACTATAACTTACCTTATAAGTCTTACCTTATAAACTCAACTTTAAGTAGTACATGTATTTCGTCAACAAAAACATTGAGAAGGTTATGTCAGATACCTTTTGATTAACTACGGTTATTACGGAAAGTCTTTTAGTTATTGTTTTTCTTTTTTTTTGTTTGGTATTTTATATATATATTTATTTTATTTATAACTGAATTCGCTAAAGTTTTTTATTTTTTTACAGGTATTCTTCGATGACACACGTGCAATCGCTTGCTAATAATAATACTCTATAAATAAACGACATTTGTTGTTGTTTTTGCTGAGACTTATTGATTATAACTTTTTTTCGCTATGCGATTTATGTATAAAATAAGTTATTATTAATTATAAAATTGAACTCGCAATATGAAATTTATGAGCTCGTGTTTACTATTTATAAAACCTTCCCGGTGGGAAGCGAGCTAGCGATTAGCTAGCGACTAGCTAGCTTTATAGCAATTTTCGAGCGATTTTTTTTTTCTTATTTAATTCTTTCCTTAAGTCTTTAACATCATTAAAAATTCGATTTTTAGTGTTGGATCTATTATAATTATGAAAATAATTGAATTTTAAACATTGCGATATTGTAACGATACATCGCTAGCTATATATCGCAGTTTTTTAGTCAGCGATTTTAATACGATATGACACTAGCTACATATCGCATTTGTTTAGCTGGCAACTAGATAGCGATATATCTATAGCTATTCGATAACTACATATCGCAGCTTCTTAGCTATCGATTTAATTACGATTAATCGCTAGTTACGTATCGTAGCTTTGTAGCTAGTTACAAGATAGCCAAAAATCGATAGCTAGTTGATAGCTACATAACGCATTTTTTTAGACAGCGATTTTATTACCATTTATCGCTAGTTACATATCGCAGCTTTGTAGCTAGCTACAAGGTAGCCAAAAATCGATAGCTAGTTGATAGCTACATAACGCAGTTTTATAGACAGCGATTTTATTACGATATGACGCTAGCTGCATATCGCATTTATTTAGCTGGCAACTAGATAGCGATGTATCTATAGCTATTCGATAGCTACATATCACAGCTTCTTAGCTATCGATTTAATTGCGATTAATCGCTAGTTACGTATCGTAGCTTTGTAGCTAGTTACAAGATAGCCACTAATCGATAGCTAGTTGATAGCTACATATCGCAGTTTTTAGATAGCGATTTTATTACGATTTATCACTAGTTACATATTGTAGCTTTGTAGCTAGCTACAAGTTAGCCACAAATCGATAGCTACTTGCTAGCTATATAATGCAGTTTTATTGACAATGATTTTATTATGATTTATCGCTAGTTACATATTGTAACTTTGTAGCTAGCTACAAGGTAGCCACAAATCGATAGCTACTTGCTAGCTATATAATGCAGTTTTATTGACAACGATTTTGTTACGATTTATCGCTAGTTTAATATTTGTAAGCCTTTTTAGCTAGCTACAAGGTCGCCATAAATAATGCTAATAATAATTAAACTTTAAAAGTAAAGATTTTATTACGATATGTCGACAGCTACATATCGCAGCTTTTTAGCAATCGATTTGAATGCAAAATGTCGATAGCTGCATAAAGTTGTGATTTAGCTAGCTAAAAGATAACGAAAAGTCTTTAGCTACATATTAGGGCTTTTAAGCTATCTATATTTTAGCACGAAATGTCGATAGTTTTTTAAACAGTTGTAGTTTATGCGCACTGTTCCAGACGTATGGAAATAAAATTTTGGTCAGATGGTAGATGAGCGTAGTAAGTTTTAACTATAAATAATAATATTTTATTTAGTAAAGTTTAACTATGAATAATAATATTGTATTTAGTAAATTAAAAACACCGATGGTGTTTTTAATTTACTAAATACCATATTATTATTTATAATTAAACTTAGATGGTGTTTTTAATTTACTAAATACAATCCCGTCATATATATATACATATATATATATATATATATATATATATATATATATATATATATATATATATATATATATATATATATATATATATATATATATATATATATATATATATATATATATATATATATATATATATATATATATATATATATATATATATATATATATATATATATATATATATATATATATATATATATATATATATATATATATATATATATATATAGGGGAAAGTGGGGCAACATGGCGAACGTTTTGAAAGCCCTGAGTTGTTGCAAAACTATAAGTCGTGAAGCCATAATACTTTCTCAGTATGTTTATGTTATTAAATTCTTACATTGCCTGCAAGAATTTTCAGTTTCCAAATATAGCAATTTGAAATAAATAATAAAATAAAATGTTCATAAATTTGT